TGGGGCGGCCCCCAGGCGGGGTCCTCAGGCGGGGTCCTGGTCGAGTGCCCAGGCGCCCAGGTGAGGGACTTGGGTGAAGGGCCCGTGTGGGGGCCTTCCTGACGAGTGGGCATCTCCAACGTGCCGCTCCGTGGCCCGATACGTCGGACTGGGGAGGGGTAATTTGTGGGGGGGGGGCATAAAGAGTCTTAGACTCGCCCCCGCTGACGCCATTTCTTAATGTAACATTCTTCCAAACCAACATTCATATCTCAATGTTTGATCTGTACAATATGCTTTAATCAAAGTTGAAAAGCCAAAGATTTCAAAAGATGGCATTAACTAATGACGTCATAATATGCTTTAACGACTGCAAATGAGGCCATCGCAACTTTCTCTGGGCATGTTCATTTTTTACCATTGACCAAATAAATGTGTTTAAAACTACGTCCCTGGGGCGGTAAAGGGAAACAACTCTCATCGGATTTTGCTTCGCGGTGATCTCCCTTTGCCTCCCCTTTATGACACACCAGGTTGGTTCCCTTTTAAATACGAGGTGCGACACCCCAGTCTCTTAAACCAAGGTTTGCGTAACGCCATTCGCACCCCGAAGGAGCGCTTTCATTGGTGAGAATATCCTGTCACCACTCTATTCCATTCTGTCGCGACAATGTAAACACAATGTTCTTTCTTTCTCCCTTTTCTTTTTTTTTCCCCTTTTTTATTTACCATGTCCCGAGATTGGCCATCGATTAAGACCAATGAAGGATGGCATCGATTCCAAACACGCAGTAGTCAGGCAGCGCGCCCAAAATACAGAGATTATTTAGGTTTTTACCGAGGTGTCCAGAGTATCGATTTCTTTGAAATAAAACTAACCGATATCAAGTCCTTGATGCGGCAATCAAAGGGAATTCAAAATCGGCGGTGAGTAATCCACACGAAGGGTAAATGAGTTTATCAGTGAATAGACCAGTGAAGTATCCACAACTTGTGAGAGGAATTTTAATCCATGGATTATTCTCCAAGATTCATTGTAAAGAGGCGGGCGTCTCGTGACCAGTGACATGAACGCTCTTATCAAAGAATGGACTATATTGTCAAAGTTTTTTGGTCTAAAAATGATGGTGGAATCCGGAGCAAAGTACAAACACGTGATCTTATTTCTGAAGCCATTAAAACATGGGGGAGTTTAATAACAGGGGCGGGAGGGAGAGAAAAAGGGTGGCTTTTTAATAATACGGGAAAAGGGGTAGGGGGGCCGTGGTACTAATGAAAGTTGATGCAATGGACATCAATTTGAGAAACCCTTATTTAAAATGAGTTCCATTTTTTATTTTTTTTTAGGAATAAAGTTGGCGATTTCTAGAATGGAACTCTATAATTATATCTTTTTTCTTGCTTTTACCATATCATTTATTATGATCTTGCCAGCATACCTTGATGATGCTTGTGTCTCCATGAATGATGAGGTCAAACCTCAGCCATCTGATCAAAAGAGAGCAGGTTTCCTCACTCTCGAAATGGGATTCAATCTAGCTTCCAAAGGTTTGCATCCAGTGTGTCGTGACACACTTTGATATCTAGATTCTAGAGGTTTCCACCCAGAGTGTCGTGACACACTTTGATATCTAGATTCTAGAAGTTTCCACCCAGTGTGTCGTGATACACTTTGATATCTAGAGTCTAGAAGTTTCCACCCAGTGTGTCGTGACACACTTTGATATCTAGATTCTAGAGGTTTTCATCCAGTGTGTTGCGACACACTTTGATATCTAGATTCTAGAGGTTTCCACCCAGTGTGTCGTGACACAATTTGATATCTAGATTCTAGAATTTTCCAACCAGTGTATCGTGACACACTTTGATATCTAGATTCTAGAAGTTTCCAACCAGTCTATCGTGACACACTTTGATATCTAGATTCTAGAGGCTTCCACCCAGTGTGTCATGACACACTTTGATATCTAGATTCTAGAAGTTTCCACCCAGTGTGTCGTGATACACTTTGATATCTAGAGTCTAGAAGTTTCCACCCAGTGTGTCGTGACACACTTTGATATCTAGATTCTAGAGGTTTTCATCCAGTGTGTTGCGACACACTTTGATATCTAGATTCTAGAGGTTTCAACCCAGCGTGTCGCGACACACTTTGATATCTAGAGTCTAGAGTTTTCCACCCCGTGCGTTGCGACACACTTTGATATCTAGATTCTAGAGGTTTCCACCCAGTGTGTCGTGACACAATTTGATATCTAGATTCTAGAATTTTCCAACCAGTGTATCGTGACACACTTTGATATCTAGATTCTAGAAGTTTCCAACCAGTCTATCGTGACACACTTTGATATCTAGATTCTAGAGGTTTCCACCCAGTGTGTCATGACACACTTTGATATCTAGATTCTAGAAGTTTCCACCCAGTGTGTCGGGAATAACTTTGATATCTAGATTCTAGAAGTTTCCACCCAGTGTGTCGTGACACACTTTGATATCTAGATTCTAGAGGTCCCCACCCAGTATGTCGGTACACAATTCTCTTTTGTTGGTACATTTCTGGCTGGCAAAATCTCCGGACAGCTAATTTACTGTCAACCTATCCCGGACAGCTAATTTACCGTCAACCTATCGACCTGAAACCAGGCGCAGAGACTAATTGACGATGACAACACGTTCTTTCAAATTTTAAGCCCCACCCCCAACCACCAAACATCGGGGGGGGGGGTCATTTTTCAAAGGGAAGATGACGGAAATAGTATGACACTGATTTCACGACATAAAATTCCTCTAACTGCGCTCAATGCGATTTTTTTTAAATATCGCAGAAGCGTTTGGTGCGTAATACTTTTTTTTGTTTTTCTGAAATAGTTGGTCCAACAAATCTATGGAGTTAAATTAGGTCGGTCATTGGTATATTGAAACAGTTGACGTTCATTTTTTGAAATCCTTACAAAGTGCAAGACTTGTTTAGCAAGTTTTTTTCATATTGTCAGACCCTCCAACCCCCACCCCCACCCACCGCCCCAATAGGCGCAATATTGCATTTTATAAAGGATTTATACAAAAAACTTAATTTTTTGGGGCGGTTTAATTTTATTTCCAAGTTATTTTGTGAATTAATTACAAAACAAAACAATAAACAAGGGACAAAATAACAATCTTTACAAGTCCGTGTACTGTTCATTTGTCTGCTCTAATCTTTAGTTTCTAAATCTTGAATCCAGGCATACTTCAATGCCACTTTCAATAGATTAATATTATCGTCACTTGCCACCCTTGATCAAGCCTCCATCACACATTGATCAAGCCATCAGCACACATTGATCAAGCCATCACCACACATTGATCAAACCATCAGCACACATTGATCAAGCCATCACCACACATTGATCAAGCCATCACCACACATTGATCAAGCCATCACCACACATTGATCAAGCCATAACCACACATTGATCAAGCCATCACCACACATTGATCAAACCATCACCACACATTTATCAAGCCATCACCACACATTGATCAAGCCATCACCACACATTGATCAAGCCATCACCACACATTGATCAAGCCATCACCACACATTGATCAAGCCATCACCACACATTGATCAAGCCATCACCACACATTGATCAAGCCATCACCACACATTGATCAAGCCATCACCACACATTGATCAAACCATCAGCACACATTTATCAAGCCATCAGCACACATTGATCAAACCATCAGCACACATTGATCAAACCATCACCACACATTGATCAAGCCATCACCACACATTTATCAAACCATCAGCACACATTTATCAAGCCATCAGCACACATTTATCAAACCATCAGCACACATTTATCAAACCATCAGCACACATTTATCAAACCATCAGCATACATTGATCAAACCATCAGCACACATTGATCAAACCATCAGCACACATTTATCAAACCATCAGCACACATTTATCAAACCATCAGCACACATTTATCAAACCATCAGCATACATTGATCAAACCATCAGCACACATTTATCAAACCATCAGCACACATTGATCAAGCCTCCATCACACATTTATCAAGCCATCACCACACATTTATCAAGCCATCACCACACATTTATCAAACCATCAGCACACATTAATCAAACCATCAGCACACATTTATCAAGCCATCAGCACACATTGATCAAGCCATCAGAGCACATTTATCAAGCCTCCATCACGCACATGAATCTATCCTCAAACACATTTCTTATCCAACTGCTCGTGATATTGCAATGACGTCATCTTGATTTATTTCACTGTAAGCTCAAAAAATGAACAGTTCGTCGTTGAACCGATTCACTCCGTCTCAAGGTCACCGTTTCGAATTATCGATTTCAGCTGCGCGAGGTAAATACCGAGAAAAGACCTTGAAATGGGAGATAATTTATCTCATTATGCATTCGATTTTTCCCCCTTCACTAGACGACAGCATGTTTATACAGCAGGTACTGTCCCTTGAAAGATTGTCCACACCTTCAGTAACACAACCAGGTATCGAGACGGCATGCCTCGTCCAGGTCTACACAGCGAAGAACTTACAGGGAAAAAACACGATTCAAACCTTTTTTTTTTAAATTATTATTTTGAAATTCTCCCAGAAATGTTTGATCATTGAAGTATTTGTACCTTACTACATCTTCCGATCAAAATAAATGACGTGGTCAGATCAAATTTTGCACTGGTCATTTGGTTTGGCCTTCAGCTGAATGTCAAGATTATAGTTGATTGATTGGACAAACATGGGTTGCATTGTCTTGTGAACACAACAACGGGAGCCCGATTGAAAGCGACATTGAACAGCAAAGCGCTACCATCGAAATGATATCTGGTGAGATGATGGACGACAAGACCGCTCTGTCTGGACATTTCATGGACATCTCCACCGCGGTTCTTCTAGAGCTGTACAAGGCTACGACTACATCTGTATCGGCGCACAACGCTACGGAACAACCTTCTATCCTCAACAGAACGCTATGCGATCTACACAACAAAACTTCAAGGGCGGTGCCACACCAGAAATACGTCTCGGACGAGCTCTACGGCGGGTTCTTACTGGGGTTCAGCGTCGTCAGCACCATCATGTCTTCCCTGGGTTGTCTTGGCAACCTCGTCGTTATCAGAACGTTCGTCTCCCTCGGTCTGAAGGAAGGGGTGACCGTATCGTTCGTGTTCCTCGCCGTGTCCAACCTGGCGTATCTCATCGTCATGATCGCCAACGCGGTCTCCATCGGCGTCTACGTCAACGAAAAACTCCAATCGTTCAAGACGTGGAATCCGGTCGATCCGTTCGGGATGTATGTGTTCTTCTCAAACATTTCTTACCTCCTGAACCTGATCACCATATTGACCACAACGTACCTGGCCGTCGTCCGGTGCATGTGCGTGGCCATGCCGCTACAGTTTAAGTCGGCTCTGACCAGGCGGAGATCCGTTCTGATCCTGGTGGCGTTCTGCGTCGTTTCGATCGCCAGCTACATTCCGATCCTGGTCTACATGAAGATCGTCCGGGCGTTCGACGCCAAGGTGAACGCCACGAGGTACGTGCTGTGGATCTCTCCGGAGCGGGAGGAGGTCAAGGACGTCGTGTGGTTTACCCGGGATGTGTCCGTGACCTTCATCACGCAGATCATCGTCATCGTCTGCGTCGTCATCATGGTCAGGTGTCTCCTCGCGGCGTCCAGGTTTCGCCGAGAGTCCATGAGGTATTCGGAAAAACGTGAGGACACCCGCAACACTGAATCTTCGGTGAGTCAAGTCCACGGGAGTGGAGCTCACCAGAAACGCAAAGCTAATGAAGCGGGAAGCGGCCACGCCTTGAAGCTCAGCGCTAAGGATATGTCGGTGGTCCAGCAGGTGGTTCTCATCTCCGTGGTGTACATCGTGTGCAACACCCCGGCGATTATGGTCAACACGACGGTTATGCTGGTGGAGGACTTCACCCTGGGGAATGTGTATCAAAACTTGTACCTGACAGTACTCGGCGCCATGGAACTGTTTCAGACGTTCAACTCCAGTTTCAATGTCTTCATCTACTATAGGTACAACAAGAAATTCAGAGACAATTGTAAGATGTGTGTGTGTGGTAACTAGTAACCTAAGCAGTTAGTGCACTTGGTTATGCTGGAAGAGTCTTTTTCGTTAATATGCTGGAAGAGTCTTGTCTTTAATACGCTGGAAGAGTCTTTTCTTTAATATGCTGGAAGAGTCTTGTCTTTAATATGCTGGAAGAGTCTTTTCTTTAATATGCTGGAAGAGTCTTGTCTTTAATATGCTGGAAGAGTCTTGTCTTTAATATGCTGGAAGAGTCTTTTCTTTAATATGCTGGAAGAGTCTTTTCTTTAATATGCTGGAAGAGTCTTGTCTTTAATATGCTGGAAGAGTCTTTTCTTTAATATGCTGGAAGAGTCTTTTCTTTAATATGCTGGAAGAGTCTTTTCTTTATTATGCTGGAAGAGTCTTGTCTTTAATATGCTGGAAGAGTCTTGTCTTTAATATGCTGGAAGAGTCTTTTTCTTTAATATTCTGAAAAAAGTCTTTTCTGTAATATGCTGAAAATGTCTTTTCTGTAATCTGCCGGATAAGTTGTTCAATAATGTGCTCAAAGAGTCTTATCTGTTATTGAAATTGTGTCGGTTGTGATAATTAAATTATTATACTGCAGTGAATGAAATGCACAACGCAGTTATTGTTTTGTTTTTTTTATATTGTTATTTTATGTCGTTCATTTTTGTCTAGGTTGGTCTAAATTATCAAATTGGCAGACAGGCATGAAGCACAATTTATTACAACCGTGTGCTACATGTCAATTGGCAGACAGGCATGAAGCACAATTTATTACAACCGTGTGCTACATGTCATTTGGCAGACAGGCATGAAGCACAATTTATTACAACCGTGTGCTACATGTCATTTGGCAGACAGGCATGAAGCACAATTTATTACAACCGTGTGCTACATGTCAATTGGCAGACAGGCATGAAGCACAATTTATTACAACCGTGTGCTACATGTCATTTGGCAGACAAGCATGAAGCACAATTTATTACAACCGTGTGCTACATGTCAATTGGCAGACAGGCATGAAGCACAATTTATTACAACCGTGTGCTACATGTCATTTGGCAGACAGGCATGAAGCACAATTTATTACAACCGTGTGCTACATGTCATTTGGCAGACAAGCATGAAGCACAATTTATTACAACCGTGTGCTACATGTCAATTAGCTTATTCCATTCCAAAAAGCACATATTTATGATACGAATTATCAAGCTATTCCATACAAAATAATATCCTTTGAGAGACGTGGAACCTGCCAGGCAAGTCCAGCTTAAGATTTCAACAAAATCTATCCTTCATGTGCGCATACTATCATTCTATCATACTATCATACTTTGATACTATCTTCCTTGGTATCTGGCTTCCCTGTTGCATTTCTACATCATGGTGACATCTGTCCCATTGGTTTTTTTTGGCTTATTGATGAAGTTTCTCTGGAAGGCTATCAAATTCGAACACAAGTAAGGTTATGTATTTTTTTCACCAAAGAACAAAGGAAGGTCAGGCACATGGTTCATTTTTTTTCCTTGATGCTAAATGTGGGTCATTTTTAAGTTGTCCTACCTGTGGACCACCAAAACTCAATTTCAGAGTTGCTAGATGTAGGTCATTTATATGTTGTCCTGCCTGTGGACAACCAAAACTCAATTTCTCAGTTGCTAAATGTAGGTCATTTATATGTTGTCCAATATGTGGACCACCAAAATTCAAGTCCTGAGTTTATCTGTGTAAGTCCTGGTAACTGGTGCGTTATTGTTCAATGAATCTACCATTTCCATACAAAGCCTTTACCCTCATTGATTGTATTTTTTTCCTCCTTCCCCCCATAGAATCTTTTAGTGGCCAATTTTTATTGTCTAATGTCTATAATCACATATATTTGTCCATTACATTCGTCTATCAAATATATTTGTTCACTATTTTCTTCTATCACATCATTTTTTAGCTCCATCACAAACGCACAATAATCAAGTGTTCTTTGAGTAGTCACTTTGTCAATCAATGGAAAAGCAAAGTAAAACATATTGATGTCTACTTCCTAGTGTGTGGTCATGTATCGAACAAAGACTAAATAGATCGGCCTAGTAGTATTTTTTCATCCTGGTGAACTAACCAATTTAGAATGTCGTCTTTTTTTTTTTGCAGTTATTCAAAAGAGCACTTTTCAAGATACGTTTGCAACTGCCAAAAACATGACACCTACTTGCGTTATAACCACGTAAGATAAATGCTCTTCAGAATACTCCCGACGGCACTACAAAACACTATGATCTTTTTCTTTTAAATTGCAACCACTCCATTCCCCACTCTTCTATTAAATGTACTGGTTATTCCTGGCTCAAGAACACTTCTTCCCTTAATTCTGGAGTCAAGATATTCAGAAGAGCCCTTTGAAAATAGTTGCATCCCTGATCACATCGTTCAGTTGGTTTTCATCAAATCGATCACGATGTCAAGTTGTTTGGAAATCAATCTCACTGCTCCACATTTACTTTACCGCACGCGTCATCGGACATACGTCATCAGACATACGTCATCAGACATACGCCATCAGACATGCATGACTTATCATCGGGGGCATGTGGCAGGTCACGGAAAGTAGTAACATATTTGTTTAACCCGATGGCCGAATGGTTTCCTCAGCGCTCTAGCCTGAAGGCAGACCCTGCTAAGAGCACTTGTCACAATTGTTTCGATTGAATCCTGGGAGAGTAAGATTTAAAAAAAAACAAAATAACAGTGAGTGAAGTGGTTTTTTTAAGGGGAAATAGTAGAATAGGATCTGTGGAAGCTTGGATTGAAAGACAGGACAGAAAGAGAAGAACGTTTCGGCCAAGAGCCTTCCACAGCAGCCAGGACAATTGAAAATACGGAAAGAAAGGAAAAGTAGTTAAAATCTAAAGTGTTGGCCATTGTTATGGCCGGAAGTCGATATTTTGATCCATCTAAACGCCAGCCATTGTTATGGCCGGAAGTCGATATTTTGATCCATCTAAACGCCAGCCATTGTTATGGCCGGAAGTCGATATTTTGATCCATCTAAACGCCAGCCATTGTTATGGCCGGAAGTCGATATTTTGATCCATCTAAACGCCAGCCATTGTTATGGCCGGAAGTCGATATTTTGATCCATCTAAACGCCAGCCATTGTTATGGCCGGAAATCGATATTTTGATCAATCTAAACGCCAGACATGGTCTCCTCCTTTCTTTAATTAGAACAAAATCTTCGTTCAAGTTTTGCGTACCATTTAGGAACCCTTGTCTTATCTTGGTCTCAAAGATTAGCACACGAAAGACCCAGCATCTGTTGTGCTTACCTCAAAGTCAGGACTAGGTTTCATTTCTAGTTAAAACGACGCAAACCCGCTCGGAACAGACATGCAAACTTAAGGCACCGAGAAAAGGTTTGTCCTCTGTACTTTTCCCTAGAACTGATGTGTTTCTTTGTACTTTTCCCTAGAACTGATGTGTTTCTTTGTACATGTCCCTAGAACTGATGTGTTTCTTTGTACTGATGTGTTTGTACTGATGTGTTTGAACTGATGTGTTTCTTTGTACTTTTCCCTAGAACTGATGTGTTTCTTTGTACTTTTCCCTAGAACTGATGTGTTTCTTTGTACTTTTCCCTAGAACTGATGTGTTTCTTTGTACTTTTCCCTACAACTGATGTGTTTCTTTGTACTGATGTGTTTCTTTGTACTTTTCCCTAGAACTGATGTGTTTCTTTGTACTTTTCCCTAGAACTGATGTGTTTCTTTGTACTTTTCCCTAGTACTGATGTGTTTCTTTGTACTTTTCCCTAGTACTGATGTGTTTCTTTGTACTTTTCCCTAGAACTGATGTGTTTCTTTGTACTTTTCCCTAGAACTGATGTGTTTCTTTTCAATTAAATTACACTTGTGACTGTGGTTTCTTCGGTGCATCCCACATTGCGAAAGAAGTCTAGGGAAAGATGTGTTGGTGTTTGTTTGTTTTTTAAATTTGATACCTACGTCCAAAGCTACAACAAAACTTCCCAAAAAATGTAAACTGTTTAACGGAGCAAAGTTCAAGGTCACTTTTGATTGTAAATTGATTTCATAATTTAATGAAACATGTTTTAAAGGGGGAAAAAAAATGTATTTCATGAAATTAAAATATGTTATATTATTGTTTTGACTCTCTGTAAAAATACTGTATCACGATTTCAGAAAGACAAAAAAAAAATGTGATTTGGGGTTTCAATTTATTTGTGATGACCAATGAAAAGATTTTTTTCTGTGGGTGATGGAATATTTTGAAATATCGCAAATTATAAACAAAAGGAATTCGTAAATCTTTCGCTGCTAACTTTAAGAGGAAGAATTCGAACTGATCGAGCTGATCGAACTGATCGAACTGATCGAGCTGATGTGTGATGAAGTGAGTGGGATATTCATCCCATATTTTTTTTTAGTGGTGCAACAATATTTTTCTTCATACAGCTCTTCAAGTGAAGGATGTTTCGCTTGATATAACTGGTATCAATGATATACAGTCTGTTCAATCTGGGTTTGATGACAGCCGACGAATTCTCACACATCACACCGACGGCTAATGCTGAAGTTCAGGAGGCTTCCACAGTTGCACTGTAAAATAATTTAATCATCAATGCGAATATGGGCGAAACCCGTCGGTCAATTCTGCAAGCTTTGGTCAAAGAAAAAACTAAAATTAAGTATGAAACTTAATCGAATGAAACGGGCCATTTTTTAAATTTTTTTTTAGTTTTTTTTTTTAGTTTTCTTTTCTTTTTTAACCTTTATCTTTTCATTTTAATATTTGTGCAGAGCTAATTTATTTACAGAAATAAACGGGTTGGAAGGGGCCATTTTTGATGTATAGATGAATTTATCGTCATAAAAGTTACCATTTATTGTGCGCCCAATTTTATGACTAATTTCTTTTTATCTGATAGCGATTGGAAGGAATTTTATTGTCTCCCTTTAGGAGTTTTATTGTCTCCCCTTTTATCGCTCACAATTCTGAACATGGCTGACAAAGAATAGCATTGCAACTGACATGGGCTCAGTGGGGAGTACGACATCCAACTCAGGTGAGTCCGCTTTTCTGATAGATGAACTATACTGTAATTTTTAAAAATGTGCAAGTTTAATATTTTACGATAACCCACTAGCAGCTTGTAATTGTGAAATGTATCTTTCAGGTTCCAACTAGGGTAATTTGTTTCAATGTTAGTAGGTAAAAAAAAAAATTAAAAAAAAATATTTAAAAAAAAATTTTTTTTTAAATTTAAAAAATGAAATACGTAATGGATGTTCACATCAGCAACGTAAAAACATGAACAAGACATGAAACAAGAACTGAAAACGTCATGAAAAAGACATGACCTGAACAAGACATGAACAGACATGAACAAGACATGAGCAAGACATAAGCAAGAGATGATCAAGACATGAGCAAAACATGAAACAAGACATGAACAAGACGTGATAAAGACTTGAAAAGACATGACCTGAACAAGACATGAACAAGACATGAACAGACATGAACAAGATATTAACAAGTCGTGAACAAGACATGAACAAGATATGAGCAAGACATGAACAAGACATGAGCAAGACATGAACAAGACATGAACAAGACATGAAACAACACATTATCCTGTTTATTTAATATTTTTACTTTCTCTGTGACACTTAGTCGTAAAAGTGTTCAATACATTTAATGTTGGTTCGCTTCCCTCCCTTGCTGTTTTTACTGCACAACGTTTATCGCAGGGTCACTATCATCTCATATCATTAACTTTTCTTGTTCTGCCCAACTTCAGGTTTGCTGGATGACCTACAGGTTTTCATCACAAGCCTTTAAAACGCAACCTACCCGATCATTTCTCCTTTAGAGCCAAAGCTTGCCAGAAATTACACAGTGAACCCAAGCTGGGGCAAAGAAAGGCTGGGACAATACCTTACTTCTGGAGCGTAAGCGTGGTTAAAAAATTAAAATAATAAAAAGATATTTTTGGAGAAAGGAAGGAGTAGCGTCGTGGTCATCCTGGTTGGGACCTGTCTTATGCTTCAAAGTCGCCAACGGCCGGTGCCTTCATTGGATGTTTGAAGTCAGTGTGTCCGAGCTGAAGGTGAAGGACTTGTCGATGGGAACTTAGCGCGCAGACACTTGCAGGGCTATGTCGTCAACACCATGTCAAGATTTCTGTCTGTCCAGAGTCATCTTACTTTGATGGAGGATTAACTTGAAACCGGATTTCAGTTGTGTTATCTATTAACGTAGGGTTAAATGTTAATATGTATCTCTTTGGTTGAACATATTCATTGTTGAAAATATAGTTCAAGTTGAATTGCTTGAAATCTACACACACACAAAATTAAAAAATTTAGTTTCCGAGTTTCAATCGGCAGTAGCTAAATTCCCAATGTATGTGTTTTATTCATTGGCGGTAACATTATTTCAAAAATGAATGTTGACAGTATCTCATCTTCCACAATGAGTGTTAACCATGGACAGTAACTATAATACCACGAGTGTTATCAATTGACAGTAATTATATTTCCGTAATGAATGTTAACAATTGGCAGTATCTGTTTTTCCAACACGAGTGTAAACAGTTGACAGTAACCATATTTCCAACACGAGTGTAAACAGTTGACAGTAACCATATTTCCAACACGAGTGTAAACAGTTGACAGTAACCATATTTCCAACACGAGTGTAAACAGTTGACAGTAACCATATTTCCACAACTAGTGACAACAGTTGACAGTAACTATATTTCTACAACGAGTTGTTTCTCTCCACGATTTGTTGTCACGAGTGTAGTACACGCAAACATGAATGAGACGTTACACCTCTATCCAGAACCCTGCAACATGACGTCACTTCTCGGGTGCATTCCGGAAGTCATGTCAGTTCCTTCGTCAGCCATTAACCTGGCGTCGCCCCGCTGGTCAACCAGCCTTGGAACTACTTTCGTATCTACATCAGTTTATCAAGAGCAATTGATCTCTCAAAGCCTGCTCCATTTTTTTATAGAAAGCTTCACGGTGGTCTGCGGACTAATTTCTCTGCTGGGATGCGTGGGTAAAGTGCTCATCATGAAAGCGTTCATCTCTCTTGGTCTAAAAGATGTCTTTACCATCTCGTTCGTCTTTGTCGCGGGCTCCGACCTGGTGTATTTGCTCGTGGTGCTGGGACACATCGCGTGCCTCGCTCTGATCATGATTGAGCGGAACAACGGGTATCGCATCTGGTTCGCAACCGATCCGTTCTGCGTCCACGTCTTCATCAGCAACCTGGAAGTGCTACTCTACCTGATCCCTATTCTAAACACGACCTTCCTGGCTGTCGTCAGGTGCGCATGCGTGACCATGCCCTTGCATTTCCGTAACATGTTCACCAGAGTGAGATCGCTCTGTATTCTCGTCTCGTTCTGCTTGCTGGCGTTCGTGACCTACTTGCCGGTTGTGGCGTACATGAAGATCGAAATGGCTTTCGACGAGCGGGTGAACTCGTCGCGATTGTTGCTGTGGATTTCACCGAAAAGAGACGAGGTCAAGGTCATACTGTGGATCATCAGAGACGTAGCCATCACATTGGCCAGCCAGGTCATAATCATCACCTGCGTCATCATCATGGCCAGGAGCCTCCGCACGACGCTGAAATTCCGCCAGGAAGCCACCGGTGCCTCGAGAACTTACCCGAACTCACCATGTGACACCACCAAGAGGTCCTCACACCGTGAAGATACCCACACCACGGGAGCACGCGGGCAAAAGTTGAAATCGTCTGCGGTTAAACGTGCCCGTGTGTTCTCGCAGAGCGAGCTGTCCATCGTGCGGCAGGTGGTGGTCATCTCCACCGTGTACATCGTCTGCAACACGCCCAAGATTTTGACCGAAGTCACTGCCCTGTTCGTCCCAGACCTGACTCTGGGCAAAGCTTACGAGAACATGTACACCGCCTTGCTGGGGCTCGTCATCTACTGCCAGTCGTTCGGGTCCAGCATAAACTTCCTGATCTACTACAGATATAACACGAAATTCAGACAGCGTTGCCGACTCTTCAGAAAATAATGGCGTATGGTTTCTTCTATTTAGCAACCCAATCTCTATGACGTCTGAACTCAAGCATATTTAATATTTTTTTACAAAAATTTCTATTATAGTTTGTCTTGCTTTGTTTTGTTTATTTCATAATTTGTTTGTTTTTTAATTCGTTTCAATGATTTGAGCCTGCAGTTCCACGTCCTTGTTACGAAAAAGGGTGCGAAATTTTATAGACATTTAATGTTCTTGAGGATTTTGACCAACAAGACATTTGATGGACATTTTAAAATTCTAAGAATTTTGACCAACAAGACATTTTGTTGACATTTTAAAAATATTAGGGATTTTGACCAACTAGACATTTTACAACGTGTGGATCAATGTATGGAGGGTCGGCAACCCTGGTTGTCTTGTTTTTTTAAACTTTAACTCAGTTTTTAGTGCAGAGAGTCTTCGGATTATATGCATCAAGGCGAGATGCATCAAGGCGAGATGCATCAAGGCGAGATGTATCAAACTAGAAGGCATGAAAGAAACTGAAGTTCTGTACTTCGTAAACCAAATTATTTGATAAATGTGTGAAAGCTTTCTATTAAACAACATTCTAAATGAAGAGTTGCTTGTTGTTGATTTTTTTTTCTTTTCTTGATTTTAATGTTGTTAATTACGTCAGTACATTATATTTTAGAGTTAGGCCCTCGACCTAATTCTGAAGTCTTCATCTTGAAATTGTGCTCAGTCGTCAAGAATCTTTCCGATTTGACTTTATAAATAGTTTTCCAAGAACTCGTAAGAACTCGTAATTCATAGTGGCACCACAACGTGCTCAAACAGTGGCACCACAACGTGCTCAAACAGTGGCACCACAACGTGCTCAAACAGTGGCACCACAACGTGCTCAAACAGTGGCACCACAACGTGCTCAAACAGTGGCACCACAACGTGCTCAACAAGAAAACAGTTGGAATATCAATTCAATATCTTGAACGTCTGTCAAATGTGGAGCAAAAGTTTAGTCGACTAGAAGTTCAGTTTAAACATTGACTCTGATGGTAGAGTTTAACTATAAGTTTCCAAATTAGCACGTATGGTATTTCCAAATTAGCACGTATGGTATTTCCAAATTAGCACTGATGGTATTTCCAAATTAGCTTTGGTGGTATTTCCAAATTAGCACTGATGGTATGAGTTAAGAGTGTGTTGTAAAATGTGAAGAGAAAAAATTATGAATGCGAAACTACAGATCGAGACAATGTTAAATATAGAAACATGACTCGGAAGTGACGTCAGTTTTGATGCCATTGATGATGAGCCGGCGTGTTTAGATCATGACGTCATTAACGCCACTGAAAATGCCATTAACTGCTGCTTGAACAACGACAAACATTCATGAACTTTCTTTTTATTTGAATAAAATTATGAAATATTAGCGTGTAATTCAGATTTGTTTTTTTTTGAATTGGGACTAGCGTTCTTTCTTTGCCAAAATAAGAAAAGAGCCGATTATTTCATTATCTTACATAAATTATCAGAAATGTTCTTTGTGGGGCATTCGACGTAGTAATTTTTAGAGGCATCTACGCTCCCGACAAAAATAAATACCAACATACAACAGCAATAATCTCAGAATCACGAAATTCAGCATTCAGGCGATCTCACAAGCTTACACTTACACCCTATCGACTTCGTGTTGATTCGATCTAAGAATTGATCTGTTCTACCACATTTAAGAATGCTTCAGTTGAGACATCCACGAAGTTTTGGCCGGACGTGACGTCAGCATGGTTAGCATTTATGAGAATGGATTTTTTTAAATATTTTTTTTTTAATTCACCATCTGTAGGCTTAATGTTACAGTCCGTGTGTAAATATTCAACTCATATGGGCTTAATGTTACAGTCCGTGTGTAAATATTCAACTCACATGGGCTTAATGTTACAGTCCGTGTGTAAATATTCAACTCATATGGGCTTAATGTTACAGACCGTGTGTAAATATTCAACTCATATGGGCTTAATGTTACAGTCCGTGTGTAAATATTCAACTCATATGGGCTTAATGTTACAGTCCGTGTGTAAATATTCAACTCATATGGGCTTAATGTTACAGTCCGTGTGTAAATATTCAACTCATATGGGCTTAATGTTACAGTCCGTGTGTAAATATTCAACTCATATGGGCTTAATGTTACAGTCCGTGTGTAAATATTCAACTCATTTAAGCCTAGGCAATGAGAAGACAAACCCTGATCAATTCTGAAACAAATTTATACAATACAAATACAATATCTCAAACCGAAGGTTACAGGTGCAAGATAGCGCACGCTTTGTCAATATTGAATCTTCCATTGTTGTGTCGTTTCCTATTGCAATCCTAAACAGATCTTATTAAATTATTTATTGACTTGAATATCTTAATCTGATCGGGATTTTAATCAACAGTTAAAAAAATATACATAAAAAAATTCAATTTGATTCAAAGGAAATCGAACATTCGTAATGTGTGTTTAGATTTCTGCTACCCAAATTTTCAATGTAAATGCTCCATTAATTTGTGATACATAAAAATTTACCAACGAAAGTTTAAAAAATACAATTTACTTGTAACGCTAACGAAAAAAAATCCTCGCTTAATTTTCACAGACGCGAATGCATGTGACAAAGAAATCATGTCTGAAAATATCGATTTTTTGTTCAAAGCGTGTTTATTAAATTCATGAAATCCCGACGCGATTACGATTACAAGATTCGATAATAAAGTTTTCATAGCATTTAATATCGATTTCTTATAAATATAAGTTCTTAAAAAAAAGAACACGATTCGTCTGCTATTTAGTATGTTTGCGCATGCAATAAGCAGTGGTGAAAAATTGATCAAATAAAATAACATGTACTGCTGTTAAAATTATTTTGTTTCCTTATTTATTATTTTATTACAGAGCTCATTTATTGCAGTACTAAAGAAAATACTGCTTAAATGGAAAACACTCGTTTATTTCTAATCGAGGTTCTTTTAATTTACTGAATTAGGAGACGGCAGTGTTTTTAACAGTCAATTTGCTGCTTGTGTTGGCGTAATCATTATCATCAATATGTTATCCAAGAAGTACATTCTGAAACTAATTGGTGGTTTAGGGGAAAGGGGGGGGGGGACTTTTTATTTTATTTCAAAATTTTTCTTACAATAAATAAATGAATGCCTCCATGATGTCCTTGTGTACAATGTGTACAGCAATTGTTTGTACAGTGATGGAAAGCAAGATCTCATTGAGAAGATTTCGATTGTTTTTTTTGTTTTTTTTAAATATTTAAGTTCTGAAACAATTATTTAGGTAGTGCTTCCAAAAATAATTGTTTCCTTATGGTTTGTTCATCAAGGTTGGTCAACAATTCATTATGACGAGAATGTGAAATTAATAGTACCAAACTTTCAATATCAACATGGTCTCTTATTAATGTTGGAGAAAATACTCGACGTAATTTGCACAGCAATTATCCCCACCACCCACCTACCCGCCACTCTTCGCACTTCCTTTACAATGTATGCGCGCCAATTATCTCGCCCCACCCCTTTTTTCTGCCACTCATTCGATAAATCTCTGATTTTGCGCTATTGGCGCGATTCTCCTGTGGACATTTTAAATGGGCACACTTTTTTTAAAAAAAATCTGTTACATCATAAAAAAACAGGGGAAAAACTTCCTTTAGAATTTTCTGGGGATAAAATGTAGGTTCGGTAGGGACTCGGCTGGACACCGAGTGGCGTCTCACCATGAACGGCACCGTCGAAAATCTACCGGACTCCAACGACACATTCGATCAACGGACACTGGCCAACGCGACGTCGCCTCCTCCAGTGGTGCAGCTCTTCATCTCCGACTACGTGTACCGGGTGCTCGTGGAGTTCTTCTCCGTCCTCTGCTCCGTGGTCTCCTTCTCCGGTTGCCTCGGCAACGGCATCGCCGTGAGAACATTCGTCCTGATGGGCCTCAAGGACGGCGTGACGGTCTCCTTCCTGTTCCTCACGGCCTCCGACCTCGCCTACCTGCTGGTCCTGTTCGCCCACTCCATTTCGTTGGGGTTCTTCGCCGTCGAGAGGGGGAGTGATTTCAAAACGTGGTTTCCGGTCGACCCTTTCGGTGTGTACGTGTTTCTCTCCGACACCGCAATGATGCTGTACCTCATCACAATTCTGACCACAACGTTCCTGGCCGTTGTTCGATGCATGTGCGTCGCGATGCCCTTGAAGTTCAAAACATCGTTCAGGAGAGCGACGTCTCTGGTCATCCTCGCTGCGTTCGTCGTAGTGGCCGTCGGCAGCTACACGCCCGTCCTGGTCTACATGAAGATGGTGACCGTGTTCGACGTGAGGGTCAACGCGACGAGATCCGTGCTGTGGATTTCCCCGAAGAGGGACGAGGTCAAGGACATTGTGTGGATCACGCGAGACGCCTTCGTCACGATGGCTACTCAGTTCGTCATCATTGTGTGTGTGCTCGTCATGGCGAGAAGTCTCCGCGCCGCTTCCAGGTTCCGCCACGAATCGGTGATGCACACTGGTACTAAAACCAAGGCGAAATCAGTCACGTCCGAACCGATCTTCTCAACTCAGGGCCAGAGTCATGCAAGCAACGAACAAGTCTATAACAAAACTAACGATCGTTCTAGAAGCGGTTCCAAAACTAATCCTAACGCGATGACCCGTAAGGAGTTCGCAGTGGTCCAGCAGGTGGTTCTCATCTCGGTGGTGTACATCGTCTGCAACACCCCGAAGATCACCATCAACATGGCCGCCTTGTTCGTCCCCGATTTCGCCATCGGCAAGATTTATCAGAACGTCTACCTCACCGTCCTGGGGGCCATGGAGTTATTCCAGGCGATAAACTCCGGAATCAACGTCATCATCTACTATAAATACAACACTAAATTTCGCAAAAACTGTAAGCTTTGCGGTAGGTGATATATTTTTGGTGAATGTTTTAGTTGAGGTGTTTCCGTGTACTTTTTCAAGGATAATTAATGGAGGACTACGTTCAAGCTGTGTGAAGGACTGCGTTCAGGCTGTGTGAATGGCTATTTTCATTTTGCGTGAAGGACTGCATTCAAGCTGTGTAAACGTGTATTTGTCTCAACGTCCAAAAGATGCAATGCAAACCCGTGAAGGATTTCTTCTGAAATAATGACTTTATTCTTTGGATATCATATGACTGTATTCTTGGGATAACATAATGGTTTTATTCTTTGGATACCATATGACTTTATTCTGGGGATAACATAATGACTTTATTCTTTGGATACCATATGACTTTATTCTTTGGATATCATGTCAATGTCGTCACACGCCCAACAGTGGACAAAAATGTCCTTAACACTATGACCGAATTTTTAAACATGTAAATGTCGTGTGTGTGTGTGTTGGCTTTTTAAATAGTGGCATTCTATCTTAAATGTAGAGTTTTAGACATGTGTTGTTGTTTTTTTTATAGTTTGTTTCTTTAAATATAAACCCCACCTGCGTATTAATCCATCTTTATGACAGTGAATGAAGATTTTGATGACATAATGAAAATATTAAATCATATTTTAAACACAATCACAAAAGTGTATTTTTATTATATATATATATATATATTATATTATTATTTTTTTTTTTGTATTTCTTTTTTTTTTTGTGGTTTTGGAATCGTAAAACAGCAGACAGCCAACTGTTGCCAAGTTGGTTTCTTTTTTTATTATATTTTTATTTTTTTTTTTGTATTTCTTTTTTTTTTTGTGGTCATGGAATCGTAAAACAGCAGACAGCCAACTGTTGCCAAGTTGGTTTCTATCTTTCATCTTCGGCTGTTTAGAATCTCCTGCTACCACAGAACACATACCTGGCCTAATTCCGGTGTGTTGATTCCACACGAGGTAGTCGTTTTTGTTTTGGTTTTGCTTTTCTATTTTTAGCTTTTAGCCTTGACCTCAGCGTCATCATATATTTGAGCGTCACTGTGAACGAATTTCTGGTCTGGAGTCAGAAGCGAAACCATTGTAAACAAAAAAAGTTCATTTGGTGGCTGATTTTCTACGCTAGAGAAATACTTTAGATGTCTACAAGATTATGTATTTTTTTATGTGATCAAAATGAATATGAACAATGTAATTTTTTTAAAATCCATTTATTTGGTTCTATAAAGAATCTGACCTTATATTGTCGTATGCAAAATTTAAAAAAAAAATAGGTACTTATTTTTGTAAGGTACAATAGACAATAATTCAGAGGAAAATGACTTAAATGAAACATTATAAGGGACATGACAAAGAATCTATAAGCATACATTTCTGACATGTCTGACATTTCTGACAGTTCTGACATTTCTGCGTGTACATCTTATTCAGCTCTTCATCCACCCCTACTCCCCAACTTCAATGTAACCTTGTGTGGTGCTGGTTCGGGTATTTTGACTTGCTTCCATCGACGCCCTTTATTGCCTTAAGCCCCAGGACTATTCAGTCGTTGGATCACTGTGGTCAGAATTGATTATCACCCCTTCACTGGATTTGTCCCCCGTGACATCACACACATTGGATAAACATTGGATTATTTATTATGTCAAACAAAACCTTTCCTGTTATAGCATTTTTTGTAAGCCCCTAATTTAGAGGTCTTCACTTCATAATTACGATGACGTCCTAGTCGACGTCGACGGACGAACAACAACAACAACAACGATGATAATCTCAAGTAAGATGATAAAAACTACCTGCCAACCTAGGCACTTTTTAAAATAAATTTCACTGTCAGGCAATACTCTGCTGTCGTTTCAAGAAAAACTAAGATGAAATATGACGTTATAAGCATGCAACAAAACTCTCAAACTCAAAAGCATAGTTTATTTATAGCGCAGAAGTGGGGGGGGGGGGTATAAAAAGCTGTAAATAATGTGTTTACAAAACTAGTTTCCATAAATTTCCTAACTTTCACTCATAAAAATCGATAGTTAATTTTATTGCGGCAAGTAAATACTAACAAAATTATCTGGTTAAAGGGGTTTAATGTGCATGATTTTTTTAGATGAATTCTTGTCACGCAAAATAGTTAATCTACCTCTAATAAATGATCATAGTAACACATAATTATTTTAATTTTATTTTTTGGGGGGTGGGGGTTCTTGGAAATTTTTTTGTGTTCTCTTTTTTCTTTCTATTTTTTTTCCGATTCTTATTATTTATCGTTTTTAGTTATTATTTTTTTTTTTTTTTTTAATTTCCGCTTCTTATATTTTTTGGGGGGTGGGGGTTCTTGGAAATTTTTTTGTGTTCTCTTTTTTCTTTCTATTTTTTTTCCGATTCTTATTATTTATCGTTTTTAGTTATTATTTTTTTTTTTTTTTTTAACTTCCGCTTCTTAACCTGCTAAGAGGAAAGCACACAATGGCGAGCGGGACGGGTTCCGCGCTGCCTTCCAGGACGAACAGTGTCATCGGGGACTCCGTCCACGGGAACGGGTCGGACCCCAGCGGCATGGAGGAGGAGACAGGCGAGGAGATGACCTCGCTGGAGGAGACGCTGCCCGAGGCCGTGGAGGTCATTGGCCCCGTGAGCCTGGACGAGTCGGCCGTCTTCGCCAACACGTACTGCCCACCGCCTCAGAACTTCATCGAGATACACATCGAAGGTAGTGAGTCGGGTGTGTGCAGGGGCGTAGCAAAAATGGGTAAATTCAGACAATCCGCGCCGCGGCCGCCATCTTGGTTGCCACGACCCGGTGAAAGGTCACCCTAAGCCTATCCCTAAACCTAACTTGAATGCTAAACCTAACCTTGGTTTCCCATATTGACTATTATTCGCCAGCCAGACAGTGTTCGGCGATTCTCTCCCATGGCACCCTTTGTGTTCCTCTTCCATACATCATAACAGTGCAGTGGCGCCCCTGTCTTTGTGATCTCCTTCATTTCTCCATACAGCAAGTGTGCAGGAAATACGCCCTGGCTGCATTATCTTCACATGGCCTGACCAGGGAAGCCATCTCTTACTTTTGATACGCATCTGCACATTTTGGCACGTCCCAGAGCCTCTGTGTTGGGCAATCTGTCCGGCCATCGAATGTACTGTTAGAGATGTGGTTCTCAACCATCCTAATGCCCGACCCCTTTAATACAGCTCCTCGCGTAGTGGTGACCCACAAACATAACATTATTGTTGTTGCTACTTCATAAATATGTGTTTTTCGGTGGTCTTAGGCGAACCCTGTGCAAGGATCGTTCGACCCCTAAAGGGATTGTGACCCACCGGTTGAGAACCGCTGTGTTATAGTAACACAATTATTGAAATCCTATTGTTATGTTTAAATTAATTACTTTTTTTATATGTTACAATTTGAACAAATCGGGATGGTTTGTGAGAAGTTACTTTTGTAATCATGGTCCACGTGACATCTCACTGCCATATCATTATGATCTACAGTTTATGGTACAACATGTGACATCTCGGCATTTGTATGTACTGTTGTTTATGGTACAGCATCCTAGAAATTGAAATTTATTACCACCCATTCTCTTTATTTCTGTAAACTTCCCAGAGTCCTACATTATTAAAAAAAAAAAATAATAAAATTTCAAGTTGTGTCTAAATACATGTCGAGGCATTAAAAAACAAAGAGATATCACTCTCAAGCCGTCAGCGGGGTGTAGTCATTTACTTCCCTTCTTCTTCTTCTTCTATATCTTAAGGGCCCACGATCAATTTATTGATCATTTTGGCTCCTATGCATGTAGATGGGATTTGCAATGTTTCTGTTACTGGTGTTGATGAGGAAATCATGCACTAGGGGTTTGAAGGCTTGAGGCAATAGACTCAAATGTGTCTAGTGTTGTCGCCTCAACCGTTCCTTTTGAAAGATTGTTCCAGTCCCTGATTGTCTTGGGCAGGAATGAGCAGCTCCTATACTGGCTTCCTGCTGGTAGGAGCCTGAATTGCCTGTCATGGCCTCGTCGCTGCCTATGGGGGAGAGGGACGAGTTTCTGTTTACTACTGTTGTAAGTTACCTGGAAGCTGCACTTGTCATCGCATGAAAGTAAGCATCTCTCTCGTCCCGTTTTCATAACATTGTTTACAGTGCTGACTTAAATAGAGAACTGAAATAGAATCAGATGCGATGAACCTCATCTCGTATAAATACGGCGGTCAGATTTATACTCCATTCACAATTAATGCTTATTAATTTTTGCCCCCCTCTCTCTGTCTCTTTCTGTCTCTCTGTCTCTCTGTGTCTCTCTCTCTGTCTCTCTGTGTCTCTCTCTCTGTCTCTGTCTCTCTCTCCCTCTCTCTCTCTCTCTCTCTCCCTCTCTCTTTATCTCACTCTCTCTCTCTCTCTCTCTCTCTCTCTCTCTCTCTCTCTGTGTCTCTCTCTCTCTCTCTCTCTGTCTCTCTCTCTCTCTCTCTCTCTCTCTCTCTCTCTCTCTCTCTCTCTCTCCCTCTCTCTCTATCTCTCTCTCTCTCTCTCTCTCTCTCTCTCTCTCTCTCTCTCTCAGTAATAATCTTTAAGAGTGCAGGCGATTTCTTTATTGTTTCAAATACACATTTTTACTTAGCTCAAGCGGACGACATGCTTCGTAATAGTGATATTGTTATTTGTATCACCTTTTACATCACCAGTTTCACCATTGGGATTCACATGAGACCAAAGCTTTCTGTTACATCCACAGTTTCACCATTGGTATTCACATGAGACCAAAGCTTTCTTTTACATTGACATTTTTTTAATGTACCTCACATTCGCTTTTTTTTTTTTTTTTTTTTTTTTTTTTTTTAAAAAGCTAATTTTTTCCTATTTTCAAATTTTCCTTATTTTTTTTTTTTTTTTTTTTTTTTTAAATGACAAATGTTCATGTCTTTATCGGAATTTTCTCCTTGCATTTAAAAAAAAAAACAACAACAACAAACGCACCCAACAGACGATGAAAAGCTGCTCGTGAA